CGACACACTGTCTCCAGATGTTTTTGTATATTCGGTCTGGTTATCATCCCATTCTTCAAGATGTGGAATGCTAGTCTGCCTTTTTAATCACATATCTTTACTAAAATCCAGTATGTGTTGATTTTACATTTGAACATTGAAAGAACAATTTTATTTCCATATTTCCAAGTTCCTGGAGCATACCACAATTATTTCCAAATACTGATAATAAGGACTATTAGAGTTTTGTTTCTGTTAGGTAGTTTATTTTATTTTATTTATCTATTTTTTCTGTTAGGTAATTTAAAAGTAAGATTTGCCTTTGCTCCTATGTTGATCTGAGAAATAAATGAAATTATATTTGAAACAGGTTTAGCTCAGTGTCATTTTGTACCTGGTAAATCCTTCATTCGTGTTAGGTATTATTTTTCTTATTATTGTTATTGATTAGCTTTGTTTTCTGATACTTTCACCATCATCTTTCTTTCCACAATCTTTAAGAATAGACACAGCAGCTGAACCTGATACACATTTCCAGTTAATTTCTCTTTGAATCCCACTCCATATGCCCATAATGAAAGAGGTTAATACCTAGACCACCAAGATCTAAATTCTGTGGATTGATCGTAGTTTCTGGACCCAGAGTTTTTTTTATTGCTCTTTCTTACTTCTCAATAGCCACTTTAAAATGAGAAAAGTTCTTCAGATCAAGAACAAAACAACATTAGTTCATGCCTTGATTTTGTCTATATCTGTCAGTTTCCCTGGACTTAAAACTTCATCTTCTGCCTAAATATCTTCTTTCATAGGTCCTTTCTTCCTTGTGAGTGCTCTGATGATTGATGTCCTGACATTGTACCCATTCAATAGTGGCCACCTGATAATGGGAACTTTCATCAAAGATGACTTTTCTAACCCCTTCTTCTATGCAGCCTATAACAAATCCTTGAGTGCAGTGGCAGCCACAACGTTTTTGACTGGAATTATTCAGGTAAGACCTGAGTCTCTGAACCTCTGAAAAAGAAATAAATAAACAAAAGAGCTCCAAATAGACCCCTTTAATAGCTCCTGTTATCCATTATGATATAATGGAACTTTAGTGATTTATTTTTAGAAAACTTGCGGAATGTGTGGATAGGCTCTTTCCTCAGTGACAAAACTTATCCTTTGTCAGAAATCATCCACAATTGATTTAAGATGACATACCGAACATTCTGACCAATCCCTTCTCTAAGACTAAAGAAGAGTCCTAGGAACTATGTTTAGTGTTTGACTCATGATTTCATGTTTTTAAATTTTTTCTTTATCTGTTTTTAACAAGAGTAACATCATTAGGCTCACATACTACATTTGGGGTTACTAGGCTTTAGAGTCAGACCTGGAATCCTTTTTCTGCAATGACAGAACCATAGCTTAAGGACAATAATATCAATGACCTATTAAAATATCAAACTTATTTTAGGCAGTGTCTTTAATTTTTCTGAGAGTCTACTATCTA